CTGGGGGGAGGGGCCACAGGAGGTTGGCCAGCCAGCCCCGCCCCTATTGGGTGGGTTGGCCGGCCGTAGTGCGTGTCATAGCGACCGGTCGCTCCGGTCGTTCAGCTTATATATAGAGAGATATAGATATAGATATAGATATAGATATAGATATATATAGATATTTACAATTACATAACGCTATAGTATTTAACATAAATTTAAAGTTATATATTACTAACTTATACAATTATAAATTATTTTCAACTTTTTGTTTATAAATAATTGCAAATGACATAAATAATAATCCTATATAATAAAAGCCTAATATGCTAAGTGTCCAGTCGGCTGTTCAACCAATCAAAGCGTAATATGCTAATGATATGTTGGCCACTCAAAACCGCTCCCTATGACGTGCATTGACCACCAGGGGCCAGACAGTCGACTGGTTGACCAGTCGCTACGACATGCACTGACCACTAGGGGGCAGACACTCCGACTGGTAGGTTAGCTTGCTGCTGGGGTTCGGCCGATCGGGACTGAGCGAGACAGGTCAGACAGGCCCTGGAGCCCTACCACGATCCCTCCCCAGCTGGCCAACCTCCCGCATCCCTCCCTGGCCCCAAGCGTGCACTAGTGGGGTCCCTCGGCCTGGCCTGCACCCTCTCACAATCCAGGACCCCTCGGGGATGTTGGAGAGCCGGTTTCAGCTCAATCCCGCAGGCCAGGCCAAGGGACCCCACTGGTGTACGAATTCGTGCACCGGGCCTCTAGTTTAATGATAATCACATAATGGAATTATCTATAATAATAAAAGCATAATATGCTAATTAGACCGGACAGCTGAACAACCTTCCAGACGACCTTCCAGACAACCTTCCAGATGAAGCCGGGGCTGCAAGGGCTGAGGCAAGCTGTGGCTGCGAGGGCCGAGCCCTTTGCATGAATTTCGTGCACCGGGCCTCCAGTATTTATATAATTATCTAGTTATATAAGTAATAAGTTATTTATATTATTTTTAAGATTTATCTCACTGCAAATTCCTTTAACACAACTAAGCCATAATTTGTTCATAATAATAACTGCTAAATAGCTTTACACAAAGTTGAGAATTCATAGTGTACCTTAAAAGTAATTTAACAATTCAATTACTTAATTTAACAGTAATATTCCAAATGTACTAAAAACTGTTCAAAGCTCTTTATTACACATCTGGAGATTAGATCTTAATAAAATAACCAGAATATACACACAGACAATGGATAAAACATTCATATCAATAACATTTTTAAAGTAAGACATTGGTAACAACATCAATATAAAAAAAACATAGGGAAATTATTATTTTTTAAGATTTTTTTATTGATTTTGAGAGAGAAGGGAGAGGGAGAGAAACATCCATCAGCTGCCTCCTGCGTGCCCCCCAGATATGTGCCCTGACCAGGAATCAAACTGGCAACCTTTCAGTGCATGGGACAATGTCCAACCAACTGTGCCACACTGGCCAGAGCAAAAATAGGAAAATCATTAAATGAATTCTAATTCCATGAAAAACTAAAAAGCCATTAAAAATATGATCTCAAGATCTAGTTATGAAAAAAAGGCATATATGATAAAAATCAGACATTAAATGAAAAAAAGCAGATAGTACAGTAAATAAATCTCAAACTGATTTTTTAAAAAGAGAAATGGGAAAAAATTCATTCAACTGTTAACACTGGTTGTCTGTAAGTGATGAATATTTCCCCATACACCTTCCAAACTTTTTAATTATAAGTATGTATTACTTTTACAATCAAGATAAAAGTATTATTTAAAAATAGGTTTATAATATTGACATTCAGCAAGATTACCAGAATCAACAGAATATTCCAAATGTTCATTGTTTAGTTTAAATAGTGATAAAGATATAAATATTTTATTAATTCAGAAAAAGAGCAATCTACCTTCTGATACAGAGTACCACCCACAAATTATTTGTGCCCCCCCTAATCAAACCTGAATCATATCAAATCTCTAGATCTAATTCCCAGTTGACAGGAAATACAGGTAATAAAGGAACATGTTAATTAACACAAGTAGAACATAATCAGGAAAATCCAGAATGTGAAACACTATAAAACAAGCAACCCAATTTCTTCAACCAAAAAAAAAGTACAAAGAAATAAAAATGAGAAAGAGAAACCTATAATTTAAAATAGGCTTAAGAAACATGTCAACTAAATGCAATATCTAAACCTTTTTTTGTTTTTGGATTCAATAGAACCAACTATAAAAAAAGAAAAGGATATTGAGACATTCAGGGACATTTGAACATCCAATGGTTAATATTAAATAATTGTTAAGATTTTTTTGGTACAATAATGGTATTGTGACTATGTTTAAAAAAGAATCTTCATTTGCCCTGGCTTGTGTGTTTAGTGGTTAGAGGATTGACCCATGCACCAAAGGGTCAAGGGTTGGATTCCTGGTCAAGGGCACATCTGGGGTTGCAGGTTCAATCTAAGTGCGGGAGGCAACCAATCAATATGTCTCTCTCACATCGATGTTTCTCCCCTCTCCCTCCCTCCTTTCCACTCTCTCTAAACATCAATGGAAAAAATATCCTCGAATGATGATTAAAAATAATAATAAAATAAAAACACAATAAAATTGGCTTGATTCTGTATCAAAGTACCACAATAATAGACACAAGGTATAGGCTTTTTACAATGTATTCCATGAATCCAAAAAAGACAGAACTAGGTAAGACGGATTAAGGAAGGTAAGTCAATGACAATAACCTACCTTGAAGTGAGTGCACAAATGACCTTGCTCCACTGCTCCACCACGGCCGGGTGGTGCCTCCAGTTAGCCACCATCTCCTTAGCTGTTTTCCAATATGGAGGTGTTGGGAAGCACCGAGTACAAGCTAGTAACCAAACCTCAAAGAGAACACCAATCAACTTCTCTGCCAGATTCTCAGCAATTCCACCTTACCAACAAAAAGAAAACATATCTTTGATATACTTATTTTTAAAGCAGAATCTTCAATTCACTGATATAAAAGGGCTGGTCAAAAAATTAAAATAACTGCAATGGTAAGTTTTTACTTTCAAACAATTTAATAGTAAGAACAAGAAATGGTTCTTGGGAGTGCCTATGAAGGAAATCATAGCTATATTAACCAGTTATCACTTTGAAAGTTTTCAAGTCACCCTGCTCAGTTTTTATCCAAGATCTTAATCTTCTAGCAAGTGGGACAGGAGCACATTGGGGAGAGAGGAAAGAATGAGTGCCTAAGATGAGCAACCTCCCATAATCCTCACATTAATTCTACAGAGTAAGTATTTATAAAATCTACTAGAGGCCCTGTGCACAACATTTGTGCACTGGGGGTAGGGGGGTTCCCTCAGCCCACCTGTGCCCTCTCGCAGTCCGGGACCCCTTGGGGGATGTCCGCCTAGGGGTCCTTAGTGCTGCCACAGAGGCAGGAGAGGCTCCCACCACCGCCACTGCGCTCGCCAGCTGTGAGCCCGGCTTCTGGCTGAGCAGCGTTCCGCTCTGGGAGTGCACTGACCACCGGAGGGCAGCTCCTGCATTGAGCATCTGCCGCCTAGTGGTCAGTGCGCATCATAGAGACCAGTCATTCCGCTGTAACAGTCACTGGGCTTTTATATATATAGATATAGATAAGCTACTGTTCCTATCATTATAAAAAATATATTAATTCACCCTACCATCACTGAAGATAAAATAACTTCATATCATGCCTTTCAGGGTTTCTATTCTAAGAATTGTTAACCTTGGTTTGTCAACTGTCACGCCAAAATTTAAATCCCCACTGAGTCTACTACTCATGATTTTAAAAGTAAACTATTTGAAGCTCAGAAATAAATTAGAAAAAATAAGATAAACAAACCTTGAACAGTTGGAGGGGCTAGAAGTATGTCATTAATCTGCAGAAGAAACAACAATAAGACTTCCCAGGTTTCTCGGGCCATGATGGATGATTCGCGGGCCAGTTTCTGAATGGCTCTCAGGACCTGTAAGCATAGTCGGATCTGACTGGAGCCCTGTTCCTGTCTGAAGAAGATGGACAGATATCACTGAAAATCCTTGAGAAGAGAAAGCAACAGTTTAAGGACAGGCAACTTATGGACACTGCAATGGTCCAATAATAGAGAATCAGCAGACCTAAGGACTAGGCACGACCTCTTCAGTTCAAAGTTACTTCTTAAAAACAACAACAACAACAACAAAGTTACTTCTTCCCCATCATATAGTTCGGCACTCTGGGATCTCCCCATCATATAGTTTGGCACTCTGGGATCTCAAGCTACCACTCCTATGAGGACTTGAAAGCTCCTGGGGTGAGAGGGAATACTAGAAATGTAAGCTTCACCTCTGGATTTTCTATGTCTACAATATACCTGGCACGTGTCAAAAGGTATGTGATAGGTTTCTGTTGAATGAGTGAGCGAATACCCACAACCACTCCTGCTGCACACATTGAAGCAGAAAGACCTTTGTATTCTTTTTTAAAATTTTAAATGCACATTCATGAGAATTCTGCATGGGATTTCATAGTGCTCACAGTCCCTATGAAGTTAATGTCTGTTAGCAAAGAACCTATGGACCCAATGGAATATCATTAACAGGTCCCTAAAACCCATGAGGTATGCAGGTAATTGCCTCAGAGATGAGGACCTGCTACTGCTATTCTAATAAAAAAAGGCACCTTAACCCAAAATGGGGGCTCCAAAGTTTCTCATATATCCTAGAAGAACAGTTTTATAACTCTTTAGTGCACAGGATCATTTTTTTCCACGGGAATAAAATAGGTCAAACTATTAGGGCTAGGGTTGAAGAGGAAAGGAGATATAGGCCCAAGTCCAAACCCTTATCCCCACTCTCCAAAGTAGACCATGTTAGAATTTTGAGAATAGTAGGAAACCCACTGCATAAGCAAATGGTGAATTGGCTTCCAGACTTCCTATATGAAACTCAAAACAAGTAACTAATATTATTGAAATAAATCTTAAAGCCAAATTTTTATACATTATGACGTCATAAAGAACTAATAAAATGTCTGAATCAGAGTAGGAAATCTCAGACCCTCCTCAAGAAATCCAGAAACTCAAGTGAGTACCCCTAGAACTCTTACCCCAACCTTAGAATAGACATTCTCAGATTCTAAGCCATGACCAAGAAAAAACTTACCCTCAAGTTGCAAACAAATGACACCACTAAGTTTTCCCAAAAGAAGTCAAACCTAAAGCAAATGATGAGACATTCACCTAGGAAAAGTCAAGAGCCCTCAAGTATTGTCAATTCAGTAGTGTCCAAGTTTCTAAAGCTTAGAGAAATGAGGTAATCTTTACTAAAAAATAAATAGAAAAGTCTAAACACCAGAGACTTTTCCCAATATTTTCAAAAGTAACTTGTGCTCTTCAGAAAAACTGTTGAAGAACAGGGGCTAGTGAACTGTGGCCCATGAATCAAATCTAGCCCTGCCATTAGTTTTTGCAAATAAAGTTTTATTAGAACACAGCCATGCTCATTCATTTATATATTGTCTGTGGCTGCTTTCTCTACAACAAGCAGGTACTATATGACCCACAAAGCCTAAAATATTTACTACCTGGCGCTTTATGGAAAACATTGCCAACTACACTGCTTTATAAGAATATTATGTTTTTTAAAGTCCAGTATATTTGAGCAATAGATCAAAACCCTAATCATTTTTTAAAAATGGCTCACTTTTTTCTCAATTATGACAAAAAAAGGAAGAGAAAGGCAAAAGAGACAGATTACATCTACTCTGACTTAATCTCTTACAAAGAAGGCAGTTTCCTTTTTATAGTGTCACTTTTTATAAAAACCACTAAATAAGTAAATTTGATAACAATTTTCTGAACTATCTGAATCAAAAAAAATTTTAATTTCCAATAATGGGAGATGAGATCATAACTCACAATATTTAGCACTGGAATTATTCAGCTCTCTAAGATATTCTTGACCAGGAGAACTCTAAAACTCAGTTTAATACCCTCTCAGAAGTATGCACACACACACTTTTGAGAAAACAAGCTAATTACAAATTGTAACATGAATCATTTGTAAGGTGTCATGATTCTCAAAAGAAAAAAGCAAAAGCCTAATGAACTCAAATGACATTGACTTTTTCATCAATACAGATTGAACACTAAGAGGTGGTAAGGGTACAGAGAGGAAGACGCAATGATTTACAACTCATCAAATTGTCCCATGTATAATCAAAAAGGCCAGCAAATTGGTCTCCTAAATGGGATAACAAGAAAGCATTAAAACTATTTGAGAACCTGTTTTGCCACAAACAATATGCAAATTACTGCCAACCATTTCCTGTTATTATTTCCATTTGAAATCAATAAACACAAGCAACCAGCATTTAATTCACACTAAAGGTAATATCAGTATTGCACCAGACACTGTAGAAGCCTAAAATATGTACAGCTCAGTAGCTGCTCTTAAGTTGGTTAGATGGGGAAATGAGACATACACACTCTAAAACCTCAGGAAGATATAAGAGTAACACAGGAAGTACCATACAGGTTCACAGAAGGTTTGGTCACTATGGGCCTCGATGGTAAGGTAAGGCTTCTCTTTAGAAGATAAACCAACAAAAATGCAATAAGGACAGCTAGGAGAGGGAAAGGAGGAGTAGAATGATGAAAGAGTAGGTGATAATAGGGAAGATCTTTAAGGAATGTTTAATTTATGAGTCTGACCAAAGAGCTCATGCATATTTAGTAGCAGCTAATCTGGCTAGGGGCCAGATTACAACAGGCATATCACACAAGGTAAGGAGTTTACTCTTAATCCTAGACACCAGAGTTCTTAATGGATATTTTTTCTTTTTAATTCCAATTCCCCAAAGTAACCTTTCTTCTAAATTTAAAAAGTTAAAATTTACAGAGCTTTGGATGGTTCAAAGTCCCTCACCATCTAACAGACCAAAAGCTCTAACTTTTCCAAAAGGATCTATTCCCCCTTGCCTCTTTCAAAGACAAAAAATAGCTAAAAATCTATTTTTCTTACAGAAAATCCCCACAAATGTGTAGAGAACTAATGCTTCTTCATTAATTTATATATTTCCCAAATTCTTTACAATGACATAATTTTTTAAAAGCTGGAATAAAAAATTTAAGAACAAGTAAGGCACATATCCTACATTACAATATTAAGGACTTTGCCTCAGACATGGGGAGAAATCAATAACAAACTGTCAAGATATTCTTTTGGACTACCTACTATAAATTTGCCCATAATAATGTCAAGTCTGCTTACTTCACTGTTTTCATTCTCTCTTAGGAAAGATTCATTTTAAGGTAGAATAGAAGGCTTAGTTGCTTTTAGTTTAAGTGGAAACAAAAATTATGATAGGCTAAAAGTATGTCTTTTTGAGTGGAAGGGAAAGGGTTCGCAGTATTTTAATATCTAATAGCTATCAGATTTAGAAGAAAAGCCAAAAGCCTTTAAAATGGGCACACACTTAAACATATAAGCCCATCTCTCCTAACATTCATATTAATATACTCTTTAACTAAACAAGTAATGAAAGTTAACTGTTCAAAGGACTAACAATGAAATCAGTTCCTATAATACAAAAAAAGTAAAACTTATGAATATTTTACTATGATCTTGATACAAGGCCAGATAGACAGGTATAGCTTACCTTGGTACAAAAAGATTTTGCAGGTGTTTTAGTATACTTTGAACATATAGATTTGGTTCTTTAATAACTGGCAACGGAATAGAATCTTTCGGCAACACTAAAGCCATAATCCAGTCTGTATATACATCAACACAATATTTTACAGTTTCTCCATCCAATGGAAGGGTCAGTCCATAGCAAATTACTTCCATGGTCCATTTTACCTAAAAAAAAAAAAGGAAAATATACATATAGAATTATCACACATCCCAATCTATATCTCAATAGACTGATTTAAAATGCTAACCTCTTTTATTGCCAAAAAAACCTCTCAATTGACAATATATTCATCTCAACACATATGTCAAACTTATTCTAAAGAATGTACCTTCCATGTATAAGGCATACTTAGACATTTCCCATGCAAAAGATTTAAGAAGAAAATAAATTACTTATTTCTAAATATTAAGCCTATATTGGCATTTACCCTTTAGACATTATTATTGTTTGCTCTGAAAATAAAAAGTTAAGTACAGGCAGGACATCTTGATTTTCCACAGAGATTGGAGGCAAAGAAATAGAAAACTTTTGATACTTTTCTCCACTTAATTACATGAGAGTACATGTACCATTTAGGAAATCATGTACACAAATTCAATCACATTCCATTTCCAGATTATGAAACATTAACAACAGGAAGGAAAATGAACTGCTCAACTCATATCTTGTGACTATTTTCTCTGGTAAAGAAAATAATATTTAAAATGGAAAGGTAAGAACAAACACAAGTGAGAAGGTACTAAAGCTGGGTAAGATATTAACAAGGCACTTAGCTGCACTAAATGAGTTACAGCCTTCCGACCCATCTGAATTACATCCTAGAGGCTGAAAGAACTTACCAGAGAGACTGCTGAACCATTGCTTACAGTCATGAAGAATGAATAAGATATGATGAGAAAGAGAAAACAGCCCAATTTGCAAAAGAGGATGAAACTACATTCCAGGTACTGTAGAATGGAAAGTTTAAGTGAATTCCAGACAAAACTGGGACAAATTACTAAGCAGATGATCAGTGAGCACTTACAAAAGGGAAGCATGATCACTGGGAACCAGCCTGCTCAAAAAGAACAAGTCATGCCAGATAAGCTTCATTCCTTTATAAACAGGGTTACTATGAAGGCAATTGACAATTGTATAATCCTGGCAGTTTATGAAGCACTTTCATAAATATCATCTAATAATCAAAATAACCCTGTGTGAGAGGGTAAACTATCCTGACTTTATAGATAAGAAAACTGGAGCTAAGCAAGATTAAGCAATTTGGCCCAAGTCACTGGTTTGGAAATGCTAGAGCTGAAAATTTGAACCCCCGTCTTCCAACTGGAAATCTGAAGTTATTCTCACCATGCCATTAACAGCAATATCCTTTATAATAAAACCCTAATATGTAAATTGACCAAACAGTGGAATGACCAGTCGCTATGACGCGCACTGACAGCCAGGGGGCAGGCGCTCAATGGTGGTCAGTGCACTCCCACAGGGGGAGCGCCGCTCAGGGTCATGGCTGGCGAGCTCAATGGTGGTGGCAGGAGCCTCTCCCACCTCCGCAGCATCACTAAGGACCCCTTGGGGCCGTGGTCGGCAAACTGCAGCTCGCGAGCCACATGCGGCTCTTTGGCCCCTTGAGTGTGGCTCTTCCACAAAATACCACAAAATACCACGTGTGGGCGCGCACGTACAGCACGATTGAAACTTCGTGGCCCATGCGCAGAAGTCGGTATTTTGTGGAAGAGCCACACTCAAGGGGCCAAAGAGCCGCATGTGGTTCGCGAGCCGCAGTTTGCCAAGCTGCAGTTTGCCGACCATTGCCTTGGGGGATGTCTGACTGCAGGTTTAGGTCCGCTTGTGGGGAGCGGGCCTAAGCCAGTAGTCAGACATCCCCCGAGGGGTGCCGGACTGCAAGAGGGTGCAGGCCAGGCTGAGGGACCCCTCTCCTCCCCCAGTGCACGAATGTCATGCACCGGGCCTCTAGTAACAATATAATGTAATATATAAAATAGCAATAGTCCTGACCAGGTGGCTCAGTTGGTTGGAGTGTCAATTGTTGTGGTTCAATTCCCAGTCAGGGAGCATACCTAGGTTGTGGGTTCAATCCCCAGTTGGGGTACATATGGGAGGCAATCAATTGATGTTTCTTTCTCACATCGACATCCTAGGTTGTGGGTTCAATCCCCAGTTGGGGTACATATCGGAGGCAATCAATTGATGTTTCTTTCTCACATCAACATTTCTCTCTCTCTCTAAAAATCAATAAACATATCCTCGGGTGAGGATGCAAAAAAAAAAAAGCAGTAAGTATTAAAGAAGTCAGCACAGTGAAGGTGTGACAAATAGGGTGGAGGGCAGAATTTAGTTGCACAAGAAAAAGAATTTTAAAAGAGGTTACAAGTCCCTCTTACCGAAGACAAAGGAGAAGATATCATTGGTGATATCTTCACATGGTAGATTAACTGTATAATTCTAGAGGACACTAGATTCAAGGGCTACTCTCTCATATTTTTTTGAGGGTGGGAAAAAGAATAAACAAGGGCTGCACCAGAGAACCCCTATCTACTCATGTGCCATCTCTTCCCAGGACAAGACAGCAAGGGATTATAAATACACCAAGAGGAGAGTGCACCATGACAAGTGCTGGTCCTCAGGATAAATCTCTGCTAGGATACTCTGAAGAGAGAAAAATGCTCCTCCGAAAGAAATGAAGACCTCCCAAACACACTCTGAATATAAATCTGTGGACTGTGCCTTGAGTTTAAGAGAAAGGGCCTGACACTCAAGTCTCTGTCTTGGGCCTATAGCTCAACTGGAGAATTGAGTCTGACTAGTAGGAAGTCCTAGCAGCCAATGATACAACATATTCCTTGCAACTGCCACAAACCCTGAGCCTCCACGCCACTACCCAAATAAGGTTAACATAGAGAAGTCACATTGCATTGGCAGAAATCCATTAAAAAGATGTCAAATTCATTTAATAAAGTTATATTTTCACATAGTAGAATGAAATGAAGAAACTTACTTCTTTGTCAGTTTTTAACAAACTCTCACTACTAGCCACTGAAGAAGTTACTAAGGCCTGCCCAAGAGGATGGACAACTGCATTTGCCACCTCTCGCCCAACGCTCTCTGGATAGCTGTGCAGAACACTGGTGTGACCCTGATCATTCTGAATCACCAAATGCAGGGACCTCCACTCAGAGTACATCGTGCCGCTAAAGTACTATCCAAATGGCACCTGAAAAGACAAAATAGAATTACATGTCAAATTATACTGTTGCAAATTAATAAAAGGAAGTAAAATACATATTTACCCTACAAGGCAAGATAAAGAAGCTGCAAATATTGCCTGAAGACGACTGAGAATAAAACACATCTAAAAGTTTTGAGAAATGTCCTAAAAATAGCCTCATGGTGAGATCACATAGGAAGGCAATCCCTGAGAAGCAGCTAGCTGTCCAAACACCTCCCCAAAAGAGCCCTCCTAACAAACAGACAGTCACTGTGCAAGGTGATAAATGATCAGATTTGGCATACTTATAGCATGAGGGAATCCTCCTCACACTATGTTCAGGATAGAAAAAGATGAAAGAATGGAGTACCTTAAGCAGGAAACGAAGACCCAGATTTTTCAGTTAATGGTTGCCAGGTACCTAGTACATGCTGGAAACACACCCCTGTAATTTCCCATCAATGTCCTCAAATCAGACACAATATTCTTTGAGAATATTTTATTCCCTGCAGTAGAGGCACAGAAACTTCCAGTACTGGAACACCTAGAAGTCACAGTGTCCTTTAAAAAACATACTAAGAGCTTCCACTTACTGAGCATTTATTACATACTACTCATGTAATCATCAAAACAACTCTATGAATATTAAGTAGTAGTATCTCCACTTCACGGATGAAAAAACTGAGACATGGAGAGGTTTGCTTCTTACCTGAGGCTTCAGAGCTATAATGTGGTAGAACTGGGTTTTGAACCATATCTGCTGGGTTCCAGAGACCATACTCGTAACCATGGCATGTTCTCTGTCTCCCCCTTTCCTATACTGTACATTCCCCATGGCAGGTACTGCTTCTCCCTTCTCCCAAGCTATATATTCTCCATGAAATGATGTCTAAGTCTATCATACAAATGAGAAATTTTAGTCACAGAAAACACATCTATATGAATGCAATATAAATATTACAATCATAAATGCCATATATTTATGAAGAGAATCAAGGTAGGTTAGCCCTTTCCAATTCATTTCTGTTACCTTCCACTTTCTACTTGCTCTGAAATGTTTGCCCAGCCAGCAGTGTTTAAACAAAATACATGGGTACACTTAATCTTTAAAAAGTTCTAGACCTTAACCTAAATTTTCTTCAAACTGGAAGAGACTAGCATTGTTTAATTTTACCTTAGAAAACCTCATTCCAGCTCAAGTAATATCAGTGTTTTCCAAGAGGATATGGTATTAGAGAATCATGAGCCTACAGCATGAAGGTCAAACTCCTTAGCATGAAAGATGAAGAAAAGGATGGGGAGGGTTAGACACTGCAGTGAGTTACGAAAACATAACTGAAGTCAGATGATTAAGGACTTTTACTGTTATGTTAAGGATCCTATGAGTCTGCTCCCCAAATAAGGCAGTCAGCTAACAACCTGAGCTGCTAGTAAATAAGTCTCTACCTTCAATGCTCCAGAAGTAAATATGATAGGAGGAAGGGGAAGATGTTCCTTGCAGATCATTTAATTTTCTTCCCAACTCTACATGCACCCATTTTCTAGGTAATCTCTCTGGAGGTTTCTATTACCAGGTGACTGTGTGCTGGGTAACAGCTTATGGCTTGTAGGTATTACCGCAGAAAAACATGAAGGTTTGGCCTAACTGACAAACTACCAAAATGATCAATACAGTGGCAGACACACTAAGACCGCAGGCTGACATTAATTACATCAATTGACTCAACCAATATTTATTGCATGCCTTCTGTACACCAGGCACAGGGAATGTAACAATGAAGAAATATCATCCCTGTTCCCAAGGAGCTTCAAGTCTAATTACAGAGAACAATTTTTTAAAACTTTGTAAAGTAAATCTAGACATCAATTATCTCATTAAACAAACATTTTTAAACACCTGCTATATGTCAGGTATTGTTTTTAAAGAATGTAAGTACCATTGTGTCCTGCAGATATAAACAGGACACAATGGCTGCCCAAAAGAAGGTTTCCTAGTGAGGAAGACAAGCAAAATCCATGACAACAACATAATACAATAGCATTCAACATGATAACTGATGTGATGAGGTATGAAGGCAGCAACATGCAACAGAAAAACTCAAGATCTTATTTAATAACAATGTAGCTTTGTATACTTCAAGGAATTTTCACATGTAATTTCATTTTATTCCAATAACAAGCCAAGAAAATTAAGACAGATGTCACTAGCCACTCAGTGAGGAAACAAAGTAAGGTTATAACTTGTTCAGGTCACATCAAGTAACAGTAGAGCTGGGACAAGAAATGCCTCGAAGTGCAATGTTCTTTTCTTTTTTCTGACTCCATTCCTCACCATATCACCCTGGACAAGAAACTTGGTATTTCTTTGTCATAGTTCTCTCATTTGTAAAATAGGGAGAATACCTGCAGTACCTAGCTAAAGTTACTTGGGAGAAGGATCAAATAAAACAACATAAGTCGCCCTGGCCAATACAGTTCAGTTGGTTGAGCATCGTCCCATGCACCAAAATGTCACCAGTTCAATTCCCGGTTGGGGAGCGTGTGGGAGGCAGCCAACCGATATTTCTCTCTCACAGCAATGTTTCTCTCTCTCCTTTCCTCCCTCCCTCTCTAAAATCAATTTTTTAAAAATTGCTTTTAAATAAGGCAACAAACTTTGAGATGTACAAATACAATGTACATATTCTTAGGCATGCCTCCTTTCTCTTACAGAATGCCAAAACACTGAGTAAATGAATGAACCTTGCTGGATTTTAAGGCACATACGTACACTCAAGGTCATCCATATAACTTTATGACTAATAAAGGCAAAAGGTTCATAGTTCATATTTCTGTTGTAGTCCTATTGACGCTACAAGGCAAATAATCAAGTTTAGCTAAAAAGGAATGTATTCACCTATATACCAGATTCTAACTATCAGGGATCCTATCAAACACCTGAATTACAAGAAAGACAGACAGGTTCTGCCTACATTCCTCCCTATTGTGGAAACAGGCAGTTTTTACTAGTCTATCCAAAATAAAAAATAAATGAATACCCATTACCTTCCCCTCAACAGCACTATCACAGTTCTCATCTTTTATTTCTCAGATCTGCTCTGTCCAATACAATAGCCAATCCACATATAATTACTTAAATTTAAATTAAATTAGAAATTCAGTTCCTTAGTCACATTTCAAGTGCTCAATAGTCACATGTGGCTAGTGGCTACCATATTGGACAGTGCAAATATAGAACAGTTCCATCACTGTGGAAAGTTCTATTTGACAGAGCTGACAGGTACTATACTTTTACTTTCATTACAACCTTGACTATAGACTCCTTAAGGATGGAGCTGTGTCTTATTTACCTTGGTATCCCAATTTAAATAGCAAAGTACACGTGGTACACACCAAGCACTCACTTTACATCTAACTGAATATCTCAAACACAGCAGACTACTCTGTACACTTCCCTCATCCCCAACACACTTACACACGCACACACACACACACACACACACACACACACAAAACGCACGCAAAAAACCCAACACACAAAGATATCCTCTCACATGGGAGGAATGGGTGTAGAAGGACACACTGCACTCAAAGAAAGTGGCCTGCTTTCTAGTTCTAGATGTGCTAGAAGCCAACCATTTAAATCTTGGGCAAGTTACCTACTTTCTTCACCTATAAAAACTTATAATTAAACTCCAAGTATCTTAATTCTATAACTTTAACCACCTTACACTAAAGGAAATCATGCAGTCTATCTAAAAGGTCTTTACACATGCCAGGGAACACACCTGCTAACACTGACAGGAATCTCAAATTAAATAGATTCCATTTTTAGGTTTCAGGCTATCATGATTAGAGTCACTTTTGGTCTTTAACTGAGCAAGTGAAATTTTCACCTTTATTACTTTGGAGATCAACTAGAGACTTAAACCTCAGGCTTAAAGATTAAGTTTCTTCCATGTGCTGAGGCCAGAACTGGATACTCTGTCCATATCAGATCAGAGAAACAAGGGCAGGTTTGAATATAACATGAATTGTCCCATCAGTTTCTACATTAACCTTAGCCTAAAAATTGAGAAACAGTAAAAATCTGAACCAAAACAATCTTTTTGTAACTTTTGCTGCAAAGAATGTCATTATATAAAATGTGTATTTTTGTCACATACTTTGCCAAATTTAATTGCTATAAAAAATCTTTATTGTCTAAAAACCTCTTCATGACCTTCACACACGTACCCCCTTACTTCTATAAACTTTACATGCTTTTAAGACCAGTCAAGAGCGAATACAATCTGAATTAGTGCCCTACCTTCCTTTAAAACTTATAAATACATTGGGCAATAGTATTAAGGCATTATACACTAAATATATACTAAGCCTGTCAACGCTGACATCAAGGTTTTAGTCTTCATCAAGGACTTCTTCTATCATCTCTTCTGGTGAATAGGATCAACTATTTCCAACAGCAATTCCATCTAGTAGGATTTACCAAGTACTAACAAGGCAATAATCCTATTTAATGAAAGCCTAATATGCTAAGTGTCTGGTTGGCAGGTCGGCCATTCAACCAATCAAAGTGTAATATGCTAATGATATGCTAAGGCCACTCAACCGCTTGCTATGACATGCACTGACCACCAGAGGGCAGACATTCAACTGGTCGACCAGTCGCTATGACGTGCACTGACCGCCACGGGGCAGACGCTCCGACTGGTAGGTTAGCTTGCTGCTGAGGTCCGGCTGATCGGGACTGAGCAAGACGATCTGGACACGCCCTGGAGCCTTCCCGGGGTCCCTCCCCGCTGGCCAACCTCCTGCATCCCTCCTTGGCCCCAATCATGCACCAGTGGGGTCCCACAGCCTGGCCTGCACCCTCTCACAATCCAGGACCCCTCAGGGGATGTTGGAAAGCCAGTTTTGACCTGATCCCGCAGGCCAGGCCAAGGGACCCCACTGGTACACGAATTCGTGCACTGGGCCTCTGATATTTAATGGATGACAACTAAGTACTATTTTGGACAATGAAGTGGGGAACGTATGCAAAGACCTAAGGACAATAATAAGGTTTCCACTAAAGAACTGACTGCGATAAAGTCAAATATTAAAAATCAACTGCCCTTCCAGGATGGCTCAATGGCTGAACATTGACCCATGAATCAAGAGGTCACTGGTTCAATTCCTGTCAGGGCATATGCCTGGGTTGCAGGCTCAATCCCCAGTAGGGGGCATGTAGGAGTCAGCCAATCGATGTTTCTCCCTTGTAGATGTTTCCATCTCCCTCCCTTCTCCCTTCCCTTCTCTCTAAAATCAATAAAAACATATTTTTTAAAACAAAATCAACCAATGTTGCCCTGGCCAGGTAGCTCAGTTGTTTGGAGCATCATCTCAATGGGCCAAGGTGCAGGTTCAATGCCCTGGCACATACAAGAGTCAACCAATAAATGCATAAATGTGTGGAATAGTGGATCAATGTTTCTCCCCTCCACCCCTTTTTCTCTCTAAAAAAAAAATCAATTAAAAACAAATTCAACCAACATTGATTGCACGGAGTTAGTCCTACATAGTGCGTTGCCAGTGTAAGAACTAGTAGTTTAGTCAACTGCTAGATGGATAACTTAATGAACCTACAGTATTTCCAAGCAAAAAGAACAAAACAATAAACATTAAGAACAACCATGCCCTAACCAGTTTGGCTCAGTGGATAGAGCGTCAGCCTGCGGACTGAAGGGTCCCGGGTTCGATTCCAGCCAAGGGCATGTATCTTGGTTGCGGGCACATCCCCAGTAGGAGGTGTGCAAGAGGCAGCTGATCGATGTTTCTCTCCCATCGATGTTTCTAACTCTCTATCCCTCTCCCTTCCTCTCTGTAAAAAATCAATAAAATATATTTTTTTTAAAAAAGAACTACCAAATACCTTTTGTAAAAATGGAAACACAGAAGAAACTATTTGTGGCATGAAGTCTATCACATAAAAAGGACTCAAACATTCCACTGAGTAAAATCTTTGTGAGTCTGTATGTCAAAGCACTGGGAAGAATAGAGATGGAGAACACATGGTTCAAGTTGCTCATAATCTAGAAGAGAGAGAAAAACACACAACACAGAAAAATAACTGGTAAATTCCAGTGTGATGATGCAAGGAGCAGATAGGAGAGACCCAAGGTGATAGGGGGTCACAGACAGAGCATCTGGAATGTTGGGAGTTACGCAGCCAGAGACGGGAAGAAAAGGATATATGCATGTGTATGAGAGCGAGCGTAAGTGTGTGCATTTGGGTGCAGTGGGGAGGAAGCCTGGAGGACAGTCTAGGCCGAGGAATCGCATATTAGGAGAGGACCCAGATGTTAGAGACACTAGATCTATGTGTACTGCATATTCTGGAAAACTGCAAACAGTTCTGCATGACATGTATATACTTTAAAAGATCCAGCTAACTCAGAAATCCTGCAGAGAAATTTACTTCCCATCCCCAACAGACTTTAAACAAGGAGTAGTCGTCAGTGGGCCCAGCGAAAAGACTTTTGCAGGTGGAACTGCATGTTTAACAAATTCCCAGGTAATTCTCCTACACACCTCAACAGAGAAACACTGAAACATCTTTCGCGATGCAGAATCACCTAGCAGTTCCCAAACTTTGCTGCACACTGAAATCATATGGGAATCTTTAAAAAAAAAAAAATACTGATGTCTGGCTTCACCCACTCCTTCCCCCAAATTTTGATTTAATTGCTCTAGGCATCAGGACTTTTGAAAAGCTCCCCCAGACGATTTTAACCTGCAGCCAAGTTGGAGAGACACTGACCTCGTTTTAAGAACGTGAATCTGGATTCAGACTAAATGACCAGCTAAGTGACCTTGGGCAAGTAAGTCACCTAACCATCCAGGGCCTCAGTTGCCTCCTCAGTACAATGGGGATCACAATTCTATCCTGAAAGAGTTGCTGTGAAGTTAGATGCAGCGAACGCAATGGCCTGGCATACAGTACGCGCTGAACAAGGTTTAGTTGTTGATTCTCGGTATTAACTCTTCCTCATCCGAGTGTCACTGTGCACTAGGCAGCATCGTCCCCAAGGGGAGGGATCAACTCGACCAACCTTTCTGCGGGACCGAGTTCTTCGCTGGAGTTGTCCAGCTCCGCTCCAGACCCGCCCCCTGCCCCCGGCGGCCCGGAGAGCGCTTCCCCCGGCCGCGTCCGCTCCCCAGGACCAGACCGGGTTTCAACAGACCCGTCCGACGCCACCGACTCCAGGGCCAAGTTCCCCCGGACCCTGTGGGTCCCCACAAAAAAAAAAGAAGATGTGCTTCCGAAGGCCGGGCACTTGAAACACCCAGGGCCGAGAAACACACTGGGCCGTCCCGGGACCGCCAGGAGGGGAGGGAAGGGGAGGTCCGGCAGCGACGGGGAGGACCGCCCGATTACCTGAGGCGACGGGCGGGGCCCGCATTGCTGGGGCGGGTGCCACCACTGCCAGCCGCTCTCGGCTTTCCGCCTCACGCCTCGGGCGCCATAGGGCCGGCGTTTTCGCTGCCCCGGCCAACTGTCCTCAGGCGGTCGGTCCGTCCAGCGGTCAGCGACTCTCTGAGGGCGCCTGGGGACGACGAAGGCCGGTCGGGCCGGCCGGCTGGGCTCTGCTCAGGCAACTTCCGACTGCCAGAGGCGACAGCGTCAAATAGCTCCTCCAGCCGAGTGAACCACTGCGCGTGCGCTGCGCGCCTGGTCAGAGACTTCTGCGAGTCCTGAACGGCGGCGTCAAATAATTCCCGAGACATGGAGCCGGAAGCTGCGCGTGCGCAGCTATCCCAGCTCGCCGCGCGGGGTACAGTCCCACCTCCCTTTCCGGATCCAGTGGAGGGGGAGGAGTGAAATGACGAATGCGCATACCTCATCGGGGTACTGGCGGCTAGTGCTCCACCTGCGTCCCTGTGAATCCATCCGGACTTTGCTGGGTTTAGGTGCGGACGGAATTTGGCTCTTCTCTGCAAGATTCTGGCTCCCACCCAGGTTCTGAAATTTCTCACATCCCATTCAGCACCCTTCCTTCGAAATGTTGTCCTTTACCTGCCGGTATAGCATTAACTATTTGCAATGCTCAATTCCAGGCCAAATGTGGGTTACAAAGATGAATCAGAGACCTGGATCAGAGCCTCTCATTAAGTAGCAGAGTTTCTGATATAGGCGATAAGACATTATTAATAATAATAGCAGGAGTTACCAGTTTGAGCACCTATCAATGCACCACACATTTTGTAAACAATGCCACTTTCAATAATGTGGTTTCAGCTTCAACGAAGAAAATAATAAATACCTTCAGAGAAGTACAGCTGAAGTGCTTGGAAGCGTAAAGGAGAAAATGGGCTGAGAGAGAAGCGGAGGGAGGACCTGGCCTTGAGACTGTCCTTGCTACCCAGGGAAGAAGAGACCAGGGTGTTGAGTAGTGCTCAAGGCACAGTTGTCTCAAAAGAGCAGAGAGAAGCAAAGAGGATATTGACTCCTCCTCCTTACCTTCAATTAGAAGAGACAAGGAGGAAGGAGTGACAAGGGAACTGTTATACTCCTAAAAAGGATAGAAGAGAAGTGTGTTTTTTCAAGATTTTGCATCACCCCCTACCACCAACAGGAAAGTGGCTAGAGGAGGGAAGAAGAACAAGGAGTAAAAATGTTCCAGGACAGGAGCAGGGCTATATCCAGAACATTTTGTGGATCAAAGCAATGCATTTCAATTAAACATCATGTCACAAATATCTTAAGAAGCTCATTCAGTATCAATTCCAACCACTATCTCTGGCCTTTCTAAACTACAGAGGCTGAAAAGCAAACACACAATTCCGAAACTCCCTAGCAGCTAAGGGTAGCAATGAGACAAAATCTGGCCAATAAGATGTAGGCAGAAGTCCCAAGGGAGAACTTCCCTTCCAGGATGAAAAGGAAGTTTTAGAGACGTTTGTGACCTTCATCTTTCTCCTACTTCATGCTTGGAACTAAGACACAACACCTGGAGGTGTAGCAGCCCTCTTGACACAATGTGGAGGACTATGCTAAGAGGTGGAACAGAAAGATAAAAGAAGCCCGGTTCTTTAAGATATATTCAAGTGGCTGTACAATCCCTGGATTGCCTTCCTGTTTTTTGAGGGGGAAAATCGGGGGAAATCTTTAGACCATAGTTTGTTGAGTCTTCTGTTACTTTAAACCAGATGCATTCCTAACATAACATGTGTTGAACACCTTGTGAAGAAGAGACTGTTCCAAGGTATGACTACTACCTGACCCAGGAGCTAAAAGGGGGAGATTGTGTCCCTCAAACCCCCCTCCCTTGGAGACTGATCGTAATGGATGTTCATTCTTACATAAACCAAGAGTGAACCCCTCCCCTGCCTCCTTATATGCCGGTTCCTGGAACAGGCTGCTGTCCTGACCTGATCAAGCATGTAATTTCCCATACTTGGTAGCATTCACGTATTAGTACCCAGTGACAATCCCGCCTTGTCCTATATAATTCTTTGCGCCTGCCAAGCAGCTCAGAGATCCATTTTTGTCTGCAGACACCCAAAATGTGCCTCAGATGTAAGTTTCCCTTAATAAACTCTATTAATTATCAGACTGAAGTGGCCAGCTTCTTCCTTCAGTCTCTTCCTGCCCTCTGTTTACAGAGATAGATTTTTATCCTCAAGGCCTTTCCCTTAGTCTTCCCATACTAACACACCTATAATATATCAGATAGGTAAGGGGCTGGTGATGGGGCTGACAAATTGGAAGAGCCTCGGGCAATGGAAATTGAAAAAGTGACAGACACAGAGGACTCGGAAGTTATTTAAAAGCTCTTGGGGAGAAGATGAAAATACATCTATCTCACACCTGGTTACTTTAATTCATTCCTGAAAATTCTGCCTCTAAGTGCAAAACTGTTAAATGAAAAAGTACATTTATATATATACTAGAGGCCCGGTGCACAAAAATTTGTGCACTGGGAGGGGGGGAAGGGGGGTCCCCCAGCCCAGCCTGTGCCCTCTCGCAGTCTGGGACCCCTCGGGAGATAACGACCTGCTGGCTTAGGCCTGCTTCTGGGTGGCAGAGGGCAGGCCCAATTCCTAAGTGCAGCCCCTGGTCAGGCTCAGAGCAGGGCCAATTGGGGAGTTGGGGCGCCGCCCCGTCATGCACAGAGCAGGGCGGATCGGGAGGGTGCGATGCCACCCTCAGTCACGCTCAGGGTAGGGCCGATTGGGGGGTTGGGGC